CCTAATGAAGATAGCAAGAGGCCAGTTAAATCTTTCTTTCAATTCTTATAAGCAATCTGTTAAAGTTTAATCATCTTGATCATAAGATAAAATTTCCATAAACATTTCGTAAACTTACATAATTTTTAAAATTAAAAAGTGGGTTAATGCTTCAAGAAAACATTGCTAATTTGACATAGGGGCCTAGAGGCTGGTCTTGCATCAATGTGCCTTTGATATTAATGTTTAATTTACAGAGAACTGGGACCTGGGAGGTAGAGGTTGCAGTGAGCTGAGATCGAGCCACTGTACTCCAGCATGGGCTACAGAGTAAAACTCCATCTCAAAACAAAACACAACAAAACAAAATGATCATTCTGTTTTGGGCTGGGCTTATAGTTTTAAATCCTTCATGCCAAATTTTGACATCTTAAAGTATCTAGTAGAGATTTTAACTACAAAGCTGCTTGATTAATAAGTAAAAACAACAAAGTATGCTGGTAGTTCTGAAGATATCTCTAATTTTTCCAGCAATTTTAAAGCCAGCTTATTTATTAATGATTTACTTAAGTCACATGAACTTGAAAAGAATTTAGGCTTATTTCCTTAATTTATGAGTACTGCTTTATTTTAAAGCCAATTTAGTACCCTCTGGTTACAAAACATAAATGAAAAGATGTATGCACACATAAATACATCTAAGCACACATGGACACCCATACAGAGATCCTATAGCTTTTACTTTGGAACTCTAGCCAAGAGATATCATCACAAACTCACCAGTGTATTGAAATGGTTGGATGAAAGCAGTAGTTTTTATCTTAACACCAGTAGAATGGTCCTCTATACTAGAAAAAAATATACTGTTTTTTAAGCAAATACCATATCCTTACGTTTTTGTTTAACCAAAAACACATCTTACTCTCCTACTTCTCTAATTCTTAGCAACTCTAATTCCCAGTGAAAATCCTGGGATTGCTTAATTTAACATAACATGACTTTAAGATTTCAAATCACTGGAGAGAATTTTGAGACTAAATTTACCAAGTTAATATTACAAAAGATTACTAAAATCATGTGAACTGAGAAGCCTCTGAACTAGTTTTTGTTAGTCTGATAAACACTTAGACTTTTCTTTAAGACAATTGGTTAGAGCTCTTTCATATAACTTGGTCATAAAATATTACTTCCCCATGACACATATAATTCTATAGATGGACACAGACAGAGGCAGATCTTATACATTTTAGATTTTTCATTTGTGTGTTTTCAAAATTTTTCTTTCCCCTACTTTAGATTATTAATCTCCTGATGATCTATTCCATGTCCAAAATAATTTTTAACTAAGCAACTCTAAACGTACCTTTCCAAAGCCATGACTTCAGTCAAACAGGTTGCAAAATGTACTTCTCAAAGGCACAGACTTAGATCTAAGCAAAGTCAAGGTCTGTTACATAAACTTTAAGCTATTGTTTTTCCCCTAAAGTGCCTAGTGGTACAGACACAGAGACAAATGCCCTTACAAAATGGAGAATTCCTTTAATGATGTAAATTTTCTTTAGAAAATGTTTTATTAAAGTAACTTAATTTGATAGGTGATCTTTTAACTGGGCTTAATTGGATTACTGGCTTTAGGATAGAGCTCTTTAAGGAATGGGGCCAAGAAAGCATGCAGTTTTTAAGGACTAAACCACAATTTTCTTATCCAAATGTGTGAAGAAGGGAGTACCTCCCTGTAGTAATGACCATTTCCTGTCAACTGTCCTCAGCCACCCCTAAATTTGTAGCTGTTGTCCACCATTACACACACTAAAGTCAGATCTTCTCACAGTACAAGGTAATCTCTAGTACCCCCAAAAGCCAAAGAAACCAGATAATGAAATACAAAAACGGAGAGTTTTAGACCTAAGAATCTGCCCATGACTGCTGAAACTCCACAAAGAAAGAAGAACACCCCTAAAAGGAGTGAGTGGTGTATTTATTCCAAGTTCTTTAAGGGATCCAAATTATCAGAAACCTTTTCTAGATTGTTTTCTTCACTTGGTACTGAAGATGGCAACAGGGTGGAAGAAAAATAAATGCAAGAACAAATTCCCTCTGATGATTCTTGTAATTTAGATGGTTGTATTTTCTGATGGCTGTGTCTGGCTTCTGGAGATTTTGGTGAAGTAGTAAATGGAAGCACCCAGTATATACACGTACCTCAGGGCCTCTGAGAAATTGATATAGTCAGCATTTTGTCAAATCCTGAATGTTTCTGTGGCACGACCTGCTTAAGCTGTTTGAAATCTCCAAAATGAGGTGCTGTGACAGGTCTGCTCAGCCTGGGGGACTCTAGCAGGTGATGGATGGTTCTCGTTCTTCTGAGACTCTCTAAAGAGCAAGCACGTTAATTTCTGGTTTTCAGGGGGCCTTGTAGAGCTTAGGTTGTTTTCAGCTACATGCACAGAAACCTCATTTCAAATTGGCTTAAACGACAAGGAAAGGAATTGACACCTGAGTCTGGACGTGCAGACGCTTTGGGGCTGACGTCACCAGCAGCTCTGGAGTGGCCTTTGCTCTGCAGCTCTGCGAGTTGGCTTCATCCTCATCCTGGTAGCAAGTGGGAAGCAGCCGTGTCCACCTCCCTCTATGTCACACCTTCCTTTGACACCATTGGACCAACCTGGGTGACATACTCAAGTCTGCATCAGTGACTAGCTAGCTTTTGGAGCTGGGTTTGGGGTCAGCTGCTTCCAAGACACATTGAGTATGCTGGGTGGAAATAGATACCTGGAAATAGTTGGGGTTCTTTGCTTCCAAGTGGGAAACCATACTAGAGAGATAACACACAAAATGCCCATCAGACCCTGAAACTCTTCCTGGTAAAATAAGAGCAAGGGTGCTGGGGAGGCAGATGATGGCTGACCTGGAATGGTGGAGAGGAGACCAGCTGGACAGTTCTGACATTGCTTATGGCAGTTGGTCACGGGGGTCTTTGAATAAGGTGCAGAAAATTACTAACCTCTCATGCAGAAGCAGAGGACACATCTGAGTGTAGCAGGCTATGAGAGAAGAGCATACAAAAGGAAATAGATGAATCCACTTAGGGCTATGTAGGAGCAAGGAAAGACTGGGGAGGATAAATTTCTGAGGGATGCAAATCCTGGGAAGCTGGTGCTTAACCAAATCTTTCCTCCACGCGGACATTGGGTCTTGGGGTACCTAAGACTTTGGTTTCCAGGGTCCTCCAGAAAAGATACTAGGTCTTTGTCCCTTCAGGCAGCCACAGCCATGGGGGGATGATGCTGGGGGTCACATAGCCATCCTGACCCATTGGAGCCCATGGCAAGATCCTCGGACTGGGGTACAAGAAAAAGGACACATCCTCTCCATGGGCTCCTGCATTTGCTCCATCTGGGCATTCACATCCAGTGGCAGGGAGCTTTGTCCTCTTCCCAGCCCAGGGCCAGGAATAGGGTGAATGAGGAGTAATGGGACAGGGTATCTGGAGTAAGAGGAGGAAGGAGAACTGCGAGGAAGTATTGAAATTTACTTCTGTAATACCTGGAGGCATAACACTAAAACAACCTTTTGCGGTGATTGTGCTCAGAGAGAAAACTTACCCACTTTTCTTCTCCCTCCATTCCTCAGCTGGGATGCGCGGAGTGTCTAGATGGCCGCCAACCCAGCAGTGCCACGCTGTTCTGCTTGAGTGGTGAAGCTCCTTCACAAAGTGAACCCATCAGGGCCTGTTCAAATAAAGTTGTGGGAGGGAAAGGCCAAGGGAAGCTTCTCAGATGCCTAAGAAGGGTGATGCAATACAAGATCATCCTGAAGATAGGAACAGGCATTTCTGAAAGAGCTGCTGTGGGAGTAGAGGCATTGAAAGGATGCCAGCCCCACTCGACTTCAGGGAAATGCATTTTATAACATTAGGTATTATTCTGATCGTATTTGATTAGAGGACATGTTGAAAGATATGACAAAATCAGGAGCTGGTTAGAGTTCAGGAAAATGGGTCCTCACGAAGTCCTGGCTGTTGTATAAATTGGTAGCAGTCTTTGGTTGGCAAATTGGCTCCCATTCCTTCATATGGCTGAAGAAATTCCCATTGTGGCTATACCAGGTTTTCTTCATCTGTTTATCAGATGATATTAGATTGTGTCCCCTCTTCCATTAATTGAGTAATGCTTCTATTTATATCTAGACGTATGCTGTTAATTCTCCTTCGTATACTAGTGGAATTGCTAGAGCATAAGGGAACTCTCTGTGTAATCTCAAAAGAAATTGCCAGCCCATTTTCCTCAGAAACCTCTTTTAACCATGACCCTGCCCCTGGGACGGAGCCATGTGGATCCTTGCATGACACATGTAGACACAGGTACTCATGCCATCCACCTGAACATTCCCACATGGGTGGGCCTGCCCCTGCAGTGGCCCCACTGTACCCCACTCACACCTTGAGCCGCTCAAGGGCCCGATTTCATGCCTTTGCTCTCCAGTGACACAGAGAGGGCTGTGGGAGAGATGGGCAGTCAGGAGTTTGGGACCTCACCCTACTTGTGCCCCTGATGCCCTGTGACTGTGGGAAAGTCTCCTGGTTTTCTCTGGATCTGGTATCTTCAGCTTTCCAAAGACCCCTGGCCTGCCTCACCTCTTGGGTATTATGAGGCTTCTGCAACACAATACAGCTGCAAGTGCTACCAGTTAGCCCAAAGAAAGAGGGCTGCCCAGGTAGGAGATCACAAATTGAGGCCAGCTTGTGATGCTTCCCCTGAACCTGCCTGGAGAGGAAAGGAACGCCTGGCTATTATATCTCTGCCTAGGTGAAACCCAGAACCTGGCTGAGAAAGATCAGTGTTGATTAGCATCTAGCCACACCTTTCTCCTCCCTCTCTAGACCACCCCGGTGATCCTACAGCTTGGCCAATCTTGGCTCCAGGTGGGAGGGAGAAGATCAGATTTCACAGATGTTTCTATATAACCCAAGCCACCAGAGCTAAGCTCACTCCTGAGGTTGGTGCCAGACCCTGCTGAGGATGAGGCTGGCCAGAGCCTTTGCTTGGGCACTGCTGTGCAGTACAGGTAACACATGTCCCCAGGCCCTTTCTCCTGGGCCTCAAACTATTTTCCTTTTCAGCTGCAGAGATTTTTTGAATTTGCTTATTGCCAAGGAAGAAGTCCATGGCTGATTAGCTGAAAGATACTGTCTTCCACACAAAACGTTTCACTTTCCCCTTAGTGCTGGTGGAGGAAGAGACAAATGGGAAAATATCTACGTCACTGTGCTGATGCCATTGTGATTTTTAAACATTTCTGGGTTCCTGAATTCCCTGTCTTGATATGTTTGGTGACCTTCCTTCCCGCCTTAAGCAACTTATGCTGAGACTCTGCAAGGCTCACCCAGAAGCAGCTGAGAGAATTGCTTTGGAGGTTTTCCAGGTGGTCTGACTGAAGGGGGTGTCTTGGTGAGCGTTCCCTGCATGAAATGTGACTGGGGTCTTCTGAGGGGGTAGCTGCGACCCCTGGGGGAGCCCACAGCAGGAGGGAGCTCTGCATCTGCGCAGTGGGTTGTCACATGGCAGCTGCAGCAACTTCAGGAGCAGCAATAATCAGCAGCTCCCAACACTGGCTGGAAATGCCTGAAAGAGGGGGAGTCACTTGCCCTCTAGAGGGCTGGGCCCTGGGAATTGAGTTAAATGCACGAGGATTGGCCAACTGATTTTAAATGCAGGCAGAAAAGCAAGAGAGTATTAATTTCTTCAGAAAGAGCTCTCTGTCTCTGTCTCTTTCCCCTGGCTCTCTGTTTCCCTCATTCTCCCCACGTTCTTTCTTTGTATCCTCCTCTTTGTCTCCCCGTTCTTTCCTGACCTTCTTGTTTCCCACTCTCCTCACTTCTCTCTCCTCTCTTGCCCTTGCCCTGTCTTTGTAGCCTTGCCCATTTCTCCTGCGCTGCTCCGCTTTGCTGACTGCACACTCCCCTCAGGGGCTGCTCATCGCCGGGAGCTCTCCTCCCCTGCCAGGATTCCTGCAAAGTTCAGCCTCGCTGTAGACCCCAGTACTACATGGTCTCCTCTGGCTAAAGCTTCAAATGCTCATCTACATTTCCAACTCAGGCGCCAGCTTACAGCTTCTGTCTAAATTAGGGCTACAGTGAGGCCTTAGGGCCACTGGTCATAGGAATCCTGAGAGCTTGGTGGAAAAACTTAATACGCTTGACATCTGGTTTCCTTGTCCTTGGTGAAGTCAGGAGACACAGAGACAACCTGATGAAAAAGAAGCAGAGGTACTGAGTTTAAACGCAGAAACCGGTGAGTGCTGTGTAGGCTTGGCCAAGTCACCCAGCCTCTCCTAACCTCAGCAGTAAAATTGGGGTGTCTCAACAGGGCTGTTGTGAGGAGTTAGTGAAGGAAAAGATTCCACTCAAGCAAATTGAGACAGGTTTATTACTAAAGCTCCCTGAAGTGATCATTAGCCTCATAGCCTGGGAGGTTGTATAGTCAGTGATTGTTAAGGGGCAGTTTCTTCCCCATCCCTCAAGGCCCTTACCTAAGAATCTAGATGAAAATAATTTAAGGTAGACATGCTTACAGTGCAGAAATGTCACTCAATATGACAGGCATGGTCAGGATTTGCACTTGAGATCTGCTTTCTGGAGAATCATGGTTTATTTCTTCCGGAGCCAAATTGACAGAGGTCCCAGCTGTGGGGAGATTCTTCTTTGCACCCCAAAGACTCCATATAGTCTCAGGCCCGGGAAGGACCTAAGATGTCCTGGTTGACTTTCTTGTCAGAATACACTGAATTTATAGTGTAGCACTTTCTGTAGCATTATAAGGATTGCTCATTTACTGAGTAAGGAAACATCATCTAATTTGGTAAATGAAGCAACTGTCTGGAGAGCTTTCTTAGAGTGACAGATCAGGTGTGTGCCAGGCTACCCTGTGCTGGGTATTGGGCCATAGGATCGTGCACCCAATCTCATCCTATAAGGTAGTTAAAATCCAGATGCCCATTGTATAGATGAGTGACTGAGGCTTAGGGAGTGTAAAAACTTTGTCCAAAGCTGTTCAGCTCTAGGCCGTTAGGGTGGTTGACCAGGGCCTTTTGATTCTGAACCCATGCGCCTGCCCACTAGACCATCCCCTGACATGAGCCCAGTGTCATGTGCACTGTGGGATGCATGGGATTGCATGCAGAGCACGCTTGGATCTAGGTATTTAACTCAGGTCCCTGAATAGTGAAATTTCCATAAATAAAGATGACTAAGAATCTAGATGAAAATAATTTTCATTGAGATACCAGCTTACATCTTCCATCTAAATCAGGGATACAGTGAGTTTAAGTTTTTCCACTAACCTCTCAGGGTTCCTACACCTGCCGTAAGGCCTCAGTATAGCCCTAATTTTGATGGAAGCTGTAAGCTGGTATTTGAGTTGGAAATTCACTTAAAAATTGTAGTCAACATATTTATTTCGAAATCAAATTAATCACTGGTTTTGTTATAGAATTTACAAGGAGAAATGTTTATGTCAGAGTTAAAGTCGCTTTTTATTTTTTCCCAGGAAAGTGGGGTTTCCTGTGACATGAGACCTTTAGCTAAAAAATCAGGAATGTCTCAGATAATTTAGGACAAGCTGACCGCCCTGTCAGAGCAGTAGTTTCTGACTATGGCTCCAGAGTGAGACAATTGAACTTTAATTGAATCAAATCAGAAAAGCCAGAAGAATGCTGTGGCTGAGCTGGTTTGTGAATCTGTGAATGCTGAGAGCAGTTCCTTCCTTCCGTTCTTTTTGGGTGACCCAGGGCTGCTCCCAGAATGGGACAATGATCAATGATGCCATTTCTTCTTCCTGCTCAGCTCCAACCCTTTGCACTAAAGCTCCTCTTCACAGTGTGGTCATTTTTCTTTCTTCTGCTTTCACCCATCACTAAGTTCAGATTTTCATTTTTCTTTTCTTTTTTTTTTTTTTTTTTTTTTTTGTCTTTCAGCCACAACTGTTACAGCTCCATATGCCACAGGTAAATGCAGACAAGACTGTTTCCCTCTTTCTCTTGCCTCACACAGAGATACTGTGTTTTGGGGTTGAACTCCAAATGGATCAATGAGAAGGGCAGGTACCACGGACAATTCTTGTCCAAAAGAACTTGGTATTTCTGTACCTGATAATTGGATTCAGCCTTCATAATCCCTAATTCCTCCTCCCACCCTCTCAGTGCTCCCCTTATGAGCCTCCTCCCAACTCCCCCCAACACCTCCAAGCCCCAGTAAGCCTTTTCTGCTTCGGCCCTCCTGTCTAAGCAGCCTGCTGGGAAAGGAAAGGAGCCACCGCTCCACAGAGCCTGTGTCCCTGGAGGATGGGAGCCTCCTCTAAACACTTGGAGGCTGGAGATCTGAGCAGCTGTTCTATCCTTGGTGTCAGAAAACTGCTCCTCCCTCTAACCTGCCTTCTCCATGCTGTGGTCCTTCTGTCTTCCTTCAAGCTTCTCCATGAGGATGCAGGCTAGAGGGAGGAGCAGTTTTCTTGTGATGCAGGGTGGCTTGTTGGTTGGTGGATTATCTAGAGCCTAACCAGTTGCTGGGCACAGGCTAAGTGCTTTAGAAACCAGAACAGGTTTGACCACTCAAGCAAGGTGCTCTTTTCATCCTCAGTTACACTTGTGGAGCTGGAGGCATGATTGAACCTCAAGGAGATGGATTCTCATTCGTTCAGGGATTGGGCTGCTACAGGGGCAGGAGAACTGCCTATTTGTTATTTGTCTGACATGCCCTAAGAAAATATATGGAAAGAAAATGTTTGTGCTGCTTTTCTGCTCACCAATCAGGCAATATGATTGGTGAGAAAGTAAATTTTAATAAGGGAAGTTAAGTTCCTCTATTTCCCACTCATCATAAAAGAATTGTACTTTAAAATGCATGTGGGTCCCCTCATAATCTCTGAATAGACTAAAACCAAAAAGCCCACCTTGTTTGTGGAGCTATCAGACTGGGCCATTAAGGTTACACTTTCTTCCCAAGGATGGGAGGTTTGGGGAATCAGTAATGTCAGGGGCCCAGGGAATGGCACGAGCCAATCCCGGGCCAAGAGCATCCTTGCAATGCCTGGGCCCCATTTCTCCTCTTGTAGCACCCAGTGACTGTGGGGGCCACTACACGGATGACTATGGCAGGATCCTCAACTATGTTGGGCCGAAAACTGAATGTGTCTGGGTCATTGAGTACAGCCCTGGGGAGACACCCATGGTGGCCCTTCAAAACCTCAGGTGAGTACTGGGTTGTGAGTTTTCTTTGATGATGTTGTTGTTATTTCTAGGAAGGATCTAATCTTGACTCTTAGGGTTCACCCTCTACCCGTCCATGACAGCCATTTGACACATAATCGGACTGCATTTTCACTTCCTGTTGAAAGCTTTTCACTGACTCCTTGTTCTCCAAATAAAATTTACCTTCTTGTCGTGCCTTGCACATTCTTCAGAACTGGCTTCTCTTCTCTGCTCACTTTTGATCACTTCTCTCTGGACCCCTCTATAAGCTGAGCCACTACACTAAGTTTCCTGAACACACCCGAGTCTAGAAGTTCCTTGCCTTTGCTCACACCTGCCCTCTGCCTGAAATGCATTCTTCAATCCCTGCCAGACTCATCTGCCCTCTGCAAAGGGTTTTCATGTCGTATTTCATGAGTTGGCTCAAGAGCAACAACCTCCGTAACAATAAAACCCCTTTCCTGACTCTGCAGAGGAGGACAGGTCTTTTTCTCACAGGGGCTTACATAGTACCCCCTGGAAAGCTCTACACTGAGTTTATAGTGTAAGGTTACTCTTGCGTATGACTTCGTTTGTGTTTACTAGGAGTCTGTCTTTGGATTGCAGATATTTTTCTTGAATGAATGAACGAATGAATGAAGTGATGAAGCCACAGAAGGCATTTCCAATGCAGCCTGAGTTAGTGCATTCCTATCCCAGGGCACTGTTCATGGATTTCAGCATGGGAGCCACATTTCTATCAAGTCCAGACCAAGCCAAACACAGCCCACAATGGTGGATGAGGCAAATGGTGAAATCTGTGTGACCCAGAGGTCCTGTTCCCTCCAGGCAGCCTATGGGTTCAGAATCCCACTGGGTTATGCAGGAGTTCTTGGGGTAAAGGACACTTAGAGACAGCTGCATCAAATACAAGGCTTAAACAATCTACCCACCCTGAGGCTCAGGAATTCAAAAAAGGATGAGTGGCCAAGGAGACCCAGATGGGGAAACAAGGAGAGAAGGAGGTTGAGGAAGAACCTGGAATGAAATAGTTGCGCACTTCCTATGTCATAATTTCCCCAGGGCCAGAGGGATGGGCAGCTCTGGACAGTTCCCCACATGGTCCTTTTGTCCTTTTCAAAGTTGATTTGGGATCTGACTGTCCCTGGCACCAAGGAGGGACTCGGGCAGGGCCAAGAGCAAAACTAGTATAAAGTCAGCTGTGTGTATCCTGGTGGGGTGTCCCTTTGTTGTCTTGTTATACCCCAGAGAGGCTCCAGGCCTCCCCCTGTGAAACCAAGACCTGCTGGGGGCAGAGGATGAGGGGTGGAGATCAGGACTGGAAAAGCACAGGGAGGAGAAGGAAGTGGGGAGGCCTCCCAGGACTAAGAGCTCCCATGTGCAGTTTGTCTCACAGGATGGAGATAGAGACCCCTCTCCCCTCTGCCGTGAGTAAGCAAGGCCAAGCGTGCGCTGGGAGAGGGTTCATGCCGCACCTCTTCCTGTGCCATCTGTCAGGGGAGAGGAAGGCAGAAACCAGCGAGTGGTGTTCACACATTCATTTCTGGTGGTTTTCGTCCTGACACAGGTTGCGGTTTAAGGAAACACACCACTGTGCTGGCTGCATTCACTGTTTGGGGAATTTGAAACACAGCTGTTGCTTTGACTAAAATTCCTGGGTTGGAATCCTAGGGCCATGGGCTGGGCTTCCTGGGAGACACAGAAACCATGAGACTGGGAAGCTGCCTGCTGCCCTGGTGGAGGGGAAGGTTTCTGGGAAGATGGAGGGGATGCTCGGGGCCCTGCCTGCATTATTGAAGAACTGATGAACTTTCCTTCCCTTGTTCTTATCCGTCCTTGCATTTCTAACAAGCAAAGCTGTTAGGATCCAATGTGGAGTCATTGGTGGAGGGAGGCGGCAGTCTAGCTGGAGGACAAATCCAAATGCTGATGTTTCCCTTTTCCTCTGACCTAGCAAACTCACCTGTGGCAAAGAGTATGTGGAAGTGCTGGATGGACCTCCAGGGTCTGAGTCCTTGGCCAGGAAGTGCAGCGGCTACACTCACATCTATCGCTCTTCTTCCAACATTATCACCATCAAGTACTCCAGAGAACCCAGTCACCCACCCTCCTTCTTTGAAATATATTACTTTATTGACCTTTGGGAATAGGTAGGTGGGGGGAAGAGGTACCTGCTCATGCTCCCCTGCCCTGCCTGAGCCTGGTTTTGTATATGTTGGGCAGAAGGTACACCTGTGACTGCAGAAATAAGATTGAGCCACGGTTCTTTTGGACCAGTGTTGGGTGAGGGAGAGGGAGTGTGACCCAGTGACCCTTCCAGAGAAACATACGGGTTCTGTCCCAGCATTTCTATACATACACATCTTTGAGGTTGGAAGATCAGGTGTGAAAACTTCCTTTATCGTTCCTGTCCTCTTGATGTAGAAGCATGTATCTCTGAGAAGCCATCGTCTTTCTTTCTACTGATTTTTATAAGCCCTGTGGCATTTTCTAATGTATTTATGCAAACTGAGTAGTATATCAACTGTATACTATAAGGAATGTATAATATACATATTCTATATGACTAATCCTAGAAAATATATAAAGAGATATGTATGTGTGTGTATGTATATATGTGTGTGTGTGTGCGTGTATAAACAAGACACTTGTGCCTCCTGGACTGAGATTATACTTGGTGCCCTATGAGTCATTCTCTGGACACACTGAAACACACAGCACATATTCCCCATCCCTAGGAGGCTTATATTCAATTGAGAACTGAAACCAGCTCACACGAAAGGTCAAACAGCAGCACAAGAAGCAATGGCCCCCGACACCTGCACCAGGCTGTGGGTGGAAACTGCAGACACTGCCAGCTCTGGGGTCTGCCCAGCTGTGCTGATCACACCAGGCTTCCCAGTGAGGTATAGCTCAGGCTGGACTCCAGCATAAGGCAGTCTGAAAAGGCTGGAGTAGGAAGTGCTGAGTAGGTGCCATAAGCAGGAGTGGAGTCACCCCAGTGCAGTGTATTTAAAAACAAAAACAACAGAGAAAGATGTTCATTTCATAGTCCCTCTGAGGGTTTCAGGAAGGGCAGAGCTCACACTGGGGACTGCATTGGGCATTTGAGTGCATTTCAAGCACATTGCTGAAGTGACTACTCCTTCCTTCACCATGGGTGAGGTCTCTCAGGGGACAGAAGAGGGCTCAGGTCTGTCTTGGTTCTGAGTGGGCCTGGGTTTTTTTTCTAAGACACTCAGTAGGCCCCAGGGAGGGACACAGTCCTTCTTGTATGTGACTGGGGGAGAGGAGGGCCAGTGACCTTCCAGAGCTGACCTTGCAGAGTATCCCTCTACCTATAAAGCTGGAAGGAGCATCTGGATCCTGTAAACCTCATGTGAAGCAGGCATCTCCGTCATGTTATCTAAGTTGTTCCAAATATTTGTCTTGGAGCTTGAAGGATCACCTGAAACTCACTGACATGTTCGGAGAAGAAAAACGAATCCTGCTTTTATTTGCCCTGTCTGGTTTTTCTAAATGTACAGGTACAGAGGCACTACAGGCAGACCTTGTCCGCTAGCTCTGGTGCACGGCACACAGAAGCCTGGGACTTAGTGTGAGCAGGTTCAGGTCTTTAAAGTTCCCAGAGCACCCTGGAGTAGAATAACATGATGGGAGCAGCTGAGTCTTGGCTTCTGTTTAGCACTCTGATGTCTTTGACTGGAAATGGTCCAGGGAGACCTCAGCCAAAAAGCAGCCAAAGAAATAACAAAGTTCCTGTGTCCAATCTCCTGCTGACTGACATGCGGCTCTAGGTCAGACTTTTCACCTGTCGACTATGATGTTCTCATGTATGAACTGGAGACACAAACAGGTGATAAAGAAACAACCATTAAACATTTACTCCACACAGCCTACTCTAGGTACAACAGGAATAATTTCACACAGGACACTTCATTTCCTCACGGCAAGAACTCTTTGGGGTAGTAGTACTGTTCTTAATTTACTTTAGCTTTGGGGAAATTGAGAGTTGAAAATAACTTCTCCAGAGGCACTCACTGTCATGCCAGCTTAGGGCTGTGACAAAGGCCATCTGACGCAGGGTCCGGGCTCCTCCCACCACATCCATCACAAGCATGAGCCACAGAGCCACGTTACTCAAGGGATGCCTGCGATTGCACTCAGAGATACTGTGTGATGGGTGCTTGAAATGATACCTCCATGAATTAAGACGTGTCATCTCCCCTCACCTAAACATTGCATTCAAGTTTATTATTGATTTCATTATGTAATTTACGGTAACCAAAAAGTAGGAAAAATTTGGTGTGGAAAAATCGTCTGTGTTTTGCCCAAGATCAGAGGTCCCACAGGCAAGAGATCTTCAATGATGAAGCAGCAAAAGCTATCTAAAACCAGGACAAGTACATGACCTTGGTCAAAGCAGAGTTTTCAGCCCATGGTGCCAAACTGGGGCTATGGCACTCTGAGTTGAATCAGAGAAACAAGGGGAAAGCAGTGAGCGAGCTGGTCCTTGACTGTTCAGAGCTGTTTTTTCTTTCCTCCCTTTCTTCCAGGTGACCCAGGGTTGTTCCCAGGGATGGGGACAGCAATGCCACCTCCTCTTCCTGCTCAGCTCTGTCCTTTTGCACTGAAGCAACTCTTCACAGTGTGGTCTTTCCATTCTCCTGCCTTGACCCATTGGTAGCTTCCAGGTTTCAATTTTGCCTTTCTGTTTTTATGTTTATTTAGAAATCATCCATTTATGAAAATGACAAGAAGTAAATATGAGCAATGTGTTTTCACCCTTTCCCTATTCTCACACAAGGACTATGTTTATCTGAGTTGGACACCAAATGTCTCAACAGGATGTGCTGGACCATTTTCTCAGCCAAAGTAAAGTGGTACATGTATGTGAATGTCAGCTTAAGCATTGCTCAAGTCCAAAACTGCCCTCTGCACACATGGTTCCCTCTCTGTGCTCTCCCACCAAGTCCTCCAAGCCTCAGGAGGCCTCATCTGCACAGCCTCACTGGGCAGGGAAAGAGCCACCTCTCCACAGAGCCTGTGTCCGGGGAGGACAGGAGCCTCATCTAAATGCCTAGAGTCTGGAGAGCTGAGGGGCTGCTCCATCCTCCGAGTCATAGATGACAGCCTTGAAGAAAGAGGGAAGAACTGTAGCATGGAGGATGCAGGTTAGGGGGAGGAGTGGTTTCCTTGTGATGTAGGCTGCTTGTTGATTTATTTGTTTACCAAGTATGATTTATTTGTTTAACAAGTATTTTCCTACAGGACAAATCTTGAAACATGTGAACGCATTGGGTCCTAAACACCCTGAGGAAACTGCTATATTTGTCCTCATTATACAGTGCAGAAACTGAGCCCTCACTGAAAATGATGGGAGCCCATCAGACATATCTTTAAGGCAGGTGGATTCTCATTTTTTCAGGAGTTAAGCCTTTGTGATGGTTAACTGTAAGTGTCAACTTTACTGGATAAGAAGATAACTGGGAAAGCATCATTACTGGGTGAGTCTGTGAGGGTGTTTCTGGAGCAGATTGGTGTGTGAGTCACTGAACTGAGTTGGGAAGATACACCTTCAATGTGAGTGGTCACCCATCCAAGCCACTGGGGCCCAGATAGGAAAAACATGCAGGTAAAAGGTGAAATGCTTTCATTGTCTTTTAGCATTGGGACATCCTTCTCTTCCCATTAGACATCAGAACTATTAGTTATTTGGCCTTTGGACATTGAGACTTGTAGTAGTGGTCTTTTAGCTTCTTGAGTTTCATCCTCAGACTGAGAGTGTCACCACCATCATCTCTTATTGTGAGTCGTTCAGACTTAGATTGAGCCACACAATAGGCATCCCTGGGTCTCTCCATCCCTTGCAGATGGCCTCTCATGAGACTTCCCTGCCTCCATAATGGCATGAGCCAATTCCCCTAAGAAATAAATTCCCAATCTCTCGCTATCTATCTATCTATCTTCTATCTATCTATCTATCCATCCATCATCTCTCTCTCTCTGTATCTTTCTCATCTATCAAATCGGTTCTGCCACTCTAGAGAATCCTGATGAATGCAGTCTGTCTTGAGGCAGAATTGACAATTTGCTGTCTCTCTGGCCTTCAGTAGCAAAATAATTCCAGGGAACACAAATGAGAAGTTGGTGCTGGCTTTCTGCTCAAAAATCTGGAAATGTGGTGAAAATGAAGTGTTTTAGGGAGTAGATGTTAAATTTCCTCTATTTCCCACTGATCAATAAAAAATTTTGCTTTTATTTTATTTTTAAAAATTTATTTATTTTACTTTAGGTGCATACTATATCTGGCATTTCTCCCCATGTTATCCCTCCCCACCCCCCACTGTCTCTCCCCTAACCCCCCCAACTGCCCCCCAGTGTGTGATGCTCCCCTCCCTGAGTCCACATGTTCTCATTGTTCAACACCCACCTATGAGTGAGAACATATGGTGTTTGGCTTTCTGTTCTTGAGTCAGTTTGTTGACAATGATGGTTTCCAGATTCATCCAAGTCCCTACAAAGGACAGGAACTCATTATTTTTTATGTCTGCTTAGTATTCCATGGTGTGTATTTACCACATTTTCTTTGTCCAGCCTATCATTGATGGGCATTTGGGTTGGTTCCAGGTCTTTGCTATTGTACACAGGGCTGTAATGAACACAGGTGTGCATGTGTCTTTATAGTAGAACAATTTATAGTTCTTTGGGTATATACCCAGTAATGGGGTTGCTGGGTCAAATGGAATTTCTATTTCTAGATCCTTGAGAAATCACCACACTGTCTTCCACAATGGTTGAACTAATTTACACTCCCATCGACTGTGTAAGAGTGTTTCTATTTCTCCATATCCTCTCCAGAATCTGTTGTCTCCAGATTTTTTAATGATCAACATTCTAACTGGCATGAGATAGTATCTCAGTGTGGTTTTGATTTGCATTTCTCTAATGACCAGTGATGATGAGCATTTGTTCATATGTTTGTTGGCCTCATATATGTCTTCTTTTGGAAAGTATCTGTTCATATCCTTTGCCCCCTTTTGAATGGGGTTGTTTCTTTTTTTTTCTTGTATATCTGTTTTAGTTCTTTGTAGATACTGGATATTAGCCCTTTGTCAGATGGGTAGATTGCAATAATTTTTTTCCCATT